TTGTTTGCCTCCTGGTGCCAGGCACACTTCAGGCCTTTTCAAGAAAATGTCTGTCGAATCCGAATAACCATCATTTCTCTCCAAGTACAAATGTATTCAGCGCGGGAGTCAGACAATGGTGCAGGCACTTTTCCTGAGATAACGGTTGTATCTCGGTGTGCCGGAGACATGCTGCATGCATGGCACTGGTCACACACGACGTGAAGACAGCTGTGTGCAAGGACGGAGAAATTAGCAAATCAATCCATGTTCCCCCTTCCAGGACATTCTTTTTTTTAATCCTCACCTGAGGATATTTTTTCCATTGGTTTTTTTTTCTTAGAGAGAGGGGAGGGGAGGGAAGAGGAGAGAGAGAGAGACAAACATTGATGTGAGAGAGACACATCAATTGGTTGCCTCTCATTCGCACTCAGACCGGGGCTGGGGATCAAGCCTGCAACCAAGGTATGGGCCCTTGACTGGGAATCAAACCCATGACCCTTTGGTCCATAGGTCGGCGTTCTAACCACTGAGCACCACTGGCCAGGGCCATGGCATTCTTAAGTGATGCCATCTCTTTTTCTGGTTTTCATCCAGCATGTGTATGACAACCTCACCTGTATACACCAGCTCCGGCACCCCCAGCTCCTGCACCCCCACCTCCTGCACCCCTGGCTCCTGCACTCCCACCTCCTGCACCCCCAGCTCCTGCACCCCCACCTCCTGCGCCCCCAGCTCCTGCACCATCAGGGCAAATGTCCACACAGCAAAACGGACACAGGACGTCTCAGTGTCATTAGGAAACTCGCTCTGACCTTGCCGACCCCCTGAAAGGGTCTGGGGGACCCAGGCCTTCTCAGACCACACTAAGTTTCTCTTCAGCATTTCCTTCCATAAGTATACGAACATGCACGCACACGCACGCACACGCACACACATGCCTCTAGCATTTGAACGGTTAAAGGCATGTGGATACCAAACAGAAGAAGGGTGCCACGGCAGGAGAAAGGCCGGCCCGCGGAGCCGCGTGCACTGAGGCTGGCGAACAAGTGGTGGCATTGTCTCTCCTCCCGGGTCTCGCCAAGGCCAGGGGCAGCGGCTGGCATGGGAGATGGTGTTTGGAGGCCGCCCCCAGCCTGCCACAGCCCTTCCTGCACAGATGGCAGAAGTCCTCACCCGACGGGCCGCGCGCGAGCAAGGCACACAGCTCGAGGCGGTCAGCAGAGCTGGGCCCTGGGGTTGCCTGGCGCCAAGGGGCAGGGAGACCCTGGGCAAGCTCTCACCCCGCCCCCACCC